ATAGGAAAAAATCTATGTCCACTGAGAATATATTGGTATTGCCATACTGAAGTATGAAGTTTGATGAAATATTTATTTATTAAGATTGGAATTTTCATTAATAAATTTCAGTTCTAGTAAAGCCTGGAAAATATTAATTAATATGTTGGATTAACAGTAACACAGTTGTTATAAAGTTGATTTTGACTCCTGATAACCCCATGAGTATCAAACCTCTGCTTATATAATTTTTGATGTTGGAATTTTTGGAAGGCAATTGCCAGACTTTTGTTCCCACATACCCATGTGTGATTTTGAACTTTCAAACTTTTAGCTAGCTACGAGTATATTATTTATCTACACCACTCAGGGTATCCACTATGTTGCATAGATGGTCTATATCTATAGTATATACTAACAACAACAACAACAAAGCACTGAAAGAATTCAAAGTCAGGAGACTTAGTTATCCAAAGGCTCAATTTCATAGCAGGAGTTAATGTTCACTGGTTGGGTCCATTTTGACTACATTTTGTAAAAAGTATTGTTTTAAACCTTTCAACTATCACGAGACATTGGACTTTACTCTGTGCTGTCATCCTTGTCCTCCCAGCACCTCATCACGTGCCTCAGATGAAACAGGCATCCTGTGGTCCTGGGCTGGATGGGGAATGGGACCTCGCGTTAAAGCAGCAAGAGGTGTAGACGATGTATGATGTAGGTTTACGTTGGAAAGAAGGAGGGAAATCCTTTGGGCCCCGAAGGCAATTCCTGATTTGGTGAAATCAATGCATTGCAGGGAAAAGCAAGATTCAAACATGTGCCTCTCGAGAAGCAAATCAAAGTGCCCAGTAAGAGATCTAGATAGAATCCTTCACTGACAAATGAGCTGAGCAGAGAAAACTCCACCGTGATGCCATTGATTCCTGCGGCATGTCTATGGGCGTCCGCAGGCCGGGCAGGAAGCACCTGGTGCGAACGTTCGAGCAGTGTGATCCTGCAGAAGATGTTGCTGTGAAGGTAACTCCAGATTGAGCCCCTTAATCCCTGTGTGATGTTTTCCCTCTTCAATGAAATCTTGACAATCACACCTATTAAGAGAACACGTGTATGTACAATCATCTTTAAACTATAAATCTGACCATGTCGTTTTCTGCCGAAGCCCACTCAGAGGTTTCCCAAGGCACTGCGGAGCGCTCACGCTCCCTTCAGGGTTCCACACGGCCTTTCTGATTTGGCTTTAGCTTTAGCGTATCCTATTCTCTTCATTCATTGCATTTCAGCTACAAGTAAGTACTTCCTGTAGCTCCAACAGGGCACTTTCACCACCCCAGGGTCTCTATCCTTCTTCCGGCTGCTGCCTGGTCTGCACAGCCCTCAGGGTCTCTTTGCTTCCTTCTAACAGCCCCTCCTCTTGTATCACGTGTCAATGCCGCGTCTTCAAAGAAGCCTTTCCAGACCATGCTGCTAAATGGCTCACTTGTTTTCTTCAGTACATAACTTATTAGTTTACATTTTTAAAACCCCAATTAAAAATATTTACAAAAACACACTTGCCTATTAAACTATTTTAAATGTACAATCCGGTGACATTGATGACATTTTTCTTGTTCTTCATCCATGATCACTATCCTTTTCCATGTGATTCCACCTCCACTGGCAGAACCTCAGTGCCCCATAAGCAATAACCACCCCCTGTCCGCATCCCCCAACCATTAATAAATGAGTTCTCTCTCTATTTGCCTACTTAGTATACCGTATATACTGTGTATCAGCTGAGTTTTTCAGCACATTTTTAATGCAGTTTTTGTGGTAAAATTAGGTGCCTTGGCTGATATTCACGTCAGCTTATACTCAAGCATATACAGTAAATGGGATCAGACAAGACTTGTCCTTTGGTGACCGTTTTATTTCATTTACCATGTTGAAGCATGTATTAGATCTTCATTTCTCTTTATGTTAGAGTCACGAAGGAATAAACCATATTTTGTTCATCTATTCATCTGTTGATAGATATTTAGGT